ATCTCTTGTGACCTTTGACTTGCTAGTTTCCGACCTGGTTTGCACTGGGGGAATAGAATCAGGGCTGTGTCAGCTGGTTGTTATCGGAGCTCCAGAGTCTCCTAACTACAGTGCCTACCCAAAAGGACGGTCTTTCTCTTCTGCTACTTGCTGGGACCTCATTTCGGTCTCATTCCCCTTGCCCTGCGTGGGTCCTCTCCATCCTTCCCTGGGCTCAGTGCCCACTCTTCCTGCCTTTGTGGGGTTTGCCATTCAGCTGACCCCTTTGTGCCTTCCCTCCTCTCCCAACCCCCTTGTGAAACACTTAATATAATAAAGAAAAATAAAGGAGGACAAACTAAGCCCACTCATTTTTATATGAAAATAAATCATGGCACTAACATGCCATTGAACTGTCACTCGGTTCCCTCTGCTTGTAAATTACACCCATTTTTGACTCCATGTCTGTCTGGTGTATTTTGATTAGGAACAATCTTTTATTCTGTCTGTGCAGTGCCCAGCACACCGAGGCGCTGATCTCTGGTGGGGCTCTAGGTGCCTGTGTGATAATAAATAACACGTAAGAACAAGGGGTAGGTGAGAACCGACTCTGGAGACTGCTTGACACTGGGCGCCGGAGGCCTGTCTAAAATAATTTTCCACGTAGGCTAAATCTCTTTAAGGGAATTTGACTTATGAAGGAAAACACAGAATTGTAACATGGCAGCTCTCCAGTAGTGCTGGGATAGAGGCTGTCTCACTGGTAGTGCAACATCTTACTAGCTGGATTTTGGTTTTTTCCAGTGTGTTTTTACACAATGGGTGAATAGTTGCTTTGTAGTAGCTCTTCTGTTTCCCTTCTATACAGGACAGCTCTCTCCACCAGAGCTTTCAGTCTTCCGAGTACTAGCCACGGGTCAGTTGAACACGACTCTGCTAGTCTAAGGAATTTTACACTAGGACTTGCACTAATAAAATTTCTCTAAATCTCAGTGCTCAGGGTCGAATACGCTTGAGCCCTGGCTAGATGCAATTATGTTACTCCCTCCTCAACCTTCCAAGGATCACTGCATGTGAGAGGCTTTAGTCTCTTTAATTGTCTTGGACTTGGTAAAACTTTATTTTTTACAAATAAGCTTTTACACGTAAGGCAAAGAGGAAGGAAAGAACCAGCAGGGACTTGCAAAGAAAAGTCCAGTTATGGACAGAAGCACGTTAGACTCTGTAGCCAAACATAAAACCAGCCGAGGAATCCTAGAGCCTGCCTACCGGGAATGTTGGTGCCTTGTTGTTTCATGAATATGGATCACCTCCAGCTATTTAACTTTTGAAGTGACACAGTGGCTCAAACGTACCTGTTTTAAGGTGACCGTGTTTTTTACTTTCCTTGTCTCTCAGAAAGGTGCTGTCTGTATTGGTTCCTGCTAACCTTTTTACTGGTGCTCATTTCAGTCCTGTGCTTCTGCCTGAAATTCAGATCTCTAGCGAAGGACCAGCAAAGAGGAAGTGTAGATCTTGCTACTGCAAGCCATGCTGGTGATGTTTCTCTGAAAATGGATCAAATGAATGATACGCTTGTTCAGGGAAAGGTGACTTGCATGGAAGCTCTTAGAGACCTTCTTCTGCTGCAGCTTTCCCATATCAAGTACACAGCACCAGTTTGATTTCCAGAATAGCCTGGTAAAAATGAAATAGCCAATTGGATTTGCTGCTACATAGAACGATGCCACATCCTAGATGTGACGGGTTTGGTCACAGAGACCCCCTTGGGACTGTCACTTGATGTGCTGAAATTACCTCTGAGCCCGTTTTCCCTGCCAGCTTGGGACTCCAGAACCCTGTCTTGTTGAGCCAGAGACGCTAGCCTGCTGCAACAGAGACCCAGGGTCTGGTCCACACCCCCAAAGCTGCAGACTTAACTGAAAACAGCTCAGCAGGTTACCTTTCTCCAGCACCCAGACACCCGGTTCCCAATGGGATCCAAACCCCAAATAAATCCGTTTTACTCTGTATAAAGCTAATACAGGGTAAATTCATAAATTGTTCGCCCTCTATAACACTGATAGAGAGATATGCACAGCTGTTTGCTCCCTCAGTATTAATCACTTACTCTGCGTTTATTAATAAACAAAAGTGATTTTATTAAGTATAAAAAGTAGGATGTAAGTGGTTTCAAGTAATAACAGACAGAACAAAGTATTTCACCAAGCAAAATAAAGCAAAAATATACAGGTCTAAGCCTAATACGTTAAGAAACTTATTACAGGTAATATCTCACCCTCAGAGATGTTCCAATAAGCTTCTTTCACAGACTAGACTGCTTCCTAGTCTGGGCCCAATCCTTCCCCTGGTACAGTCCTTGTTAGTTCCCACAGACATCTCAGGTGGTAAGCAGGAGTTTTTTCATGATTGGCAGCCTCCTTTGTCCTGCTTCCCTCCCCCCCCTTTTATAGCTTTGGCACAAGGCGGGAATCATTTGTCTCTCTGGATCCCCACCCCTCCTTCTAAATGGAAAAGTACCAGATTTAAGATGGATTCCAGTATTAGGTGACATGGTCACATATCACTGTAAGACCCCCTAGTCTCCATTCTTCCTGGGTTGGCCCACACCTACACAGGAAGGCTTGCAGGTAAATAAACCATTTACAACCAGAAGAAGAACAGGAGGACTTGTGGCACCTTAGAGACTAACAAATTTATTAGAGCATAAGCTTTCGTGGACTACAGCCCACTTCTTCGGATGCATAGTTGTCCTAGTCAATGGGAGCCATCAAGATTCTAAACCACCATTAATGGCCCACACTTTGCATAATTACAATAGGACCTTCATATTTCTGACTTCAGATACAAGAAGGACACATGCATACAAATAGGAGGAACATCTTCAGTAGTTTTAACCTTTGTTAGGATACCTTACAAGAGACCTTTTGCATAAAGCGTATTCCAGTTACATCATATTCACACTCCTAAGCATATTTCCATAAAACATATGGAGTGCAACGTCACACTAGTATAAACACTTGTGTGAACATTTGGAATCTGCTCTCTTCAAAGACTCAGTAAGTGGAGTTTGAACACAGGCTTCCTCAGGACAGGCTGGCCTTCTTGGGCTGGGATAGAAGGTGTGTTACAATGTGTTGGTTATCCCATTCTAACTAACGGGTTCCAACTTTCCAAGTGCTGCAGGCTGAGGTGAAAACTAGACTCCCCTTATGGGCCACCTTGCCCGGCTAACATGTTAACATACAATTTGCTTTTGGTTGTTTGGTGGTAATTGACGCGCTCTTTGTGGACATTGTAGGACTCACTGGTGGAAATCTGGCTTGCTCTAGACAGAACAATGCAGCTATACAGCCCTCATGCCTTGGGGCTTAAGTTTAGCGCTAAATGAGGTCAAGAAGACACGTCCTCCCATTGTGCGGAATTGCACAAATAGGTGGTTTGTGGTGGGGTGTGGTTCTGCTCTTGGGATGTTTCCATCACCCATCGAGGGTAAGGAGCGCAGTGTGACTGGCCAGGGGATGTCTCCTTGGCTTCAGGGGTAGAAGCCTGTGGGGTTTTATTTTTGACGTAAGGACCAGTATTCTGTGCTGTGTGTGATTTGTATAATGACTGTTGCAGCGCATGGCTCAATCTGTGGGTTTCACTTTCCTAGTCACGTGGGAAAGGGGCAATTTATCGGAAGCTCCCTGGCTGGGTTCAGACTCAAGAAACTTTATTTTCAAAAACACTTTTTGTAAAGGTGTTGAAAACAGTTTCATCCTGTCTACGCAAGCAGTTAAATTGTCTTCAGCATCAGTCCAAGGAAACCAATAGTTAACTGACCTAGTGCTGAAAATAGCTGTCTCCTGGCGTAGTAGGGCTCCAGCGTGTTGGAAAGTGTGTGAACCGAAACTTGATAGTGGTCAGGAGTGCTAACAGGCGTCAGTCTCCTCTGTCTTCCAAGGCTCACAAATCGCTGTGAGTTAAGCATGCGATACAGAGGTTGCCTGGATTCCATTCAGTCTGCATTTGAATAAAGGAAGAGTAAAATTGTCTGTTCTGAAATGAGCTCTCGTCCTTTTGCTGTGCCAGAGGAGAACGCAGCCCTTCCTCGGGGCTGGGGGTGTCACCTGCAAGGCTGTTACAAAGCAGTCGGAAGGGGAGTGGGGGTGGGGGGAGTGCCATTCACTTTCTGTTGTCGAGCTACAAGAACAGTGCCAGTAAAAATGGCGCTGCCTGGCTGGCCAAACCCTGGGTGCCATGTGCCTTTTTCCGCATGTTTGGTCTTTGGCTGGTCAGTCATTTGTTTGTTCCCGGTTTGAAGCTGTGCCATCTTTAAACAAAGCGAAAGCAGTAAGTCTTTCTGCCAGGCTCCAGGATTGTCTGAGTGGGGGGAAATCCAGCCTTGGCATTTAGCCCCTAACGTTCTGTCCTTTGTGTGTAAAAAGATGGGCAGACCCAGGATAATGGCACCACCAAGTCAGAAATTCATGTTGTTTCACATCTTTCCCTCCCCTCGCCATTGGTCGGTTTGAAGCCAGGTGCTGCTGAGTCCGAAGTGAAAGTCTCCTACTCTCTAGTTTCTGATCTTTGCCAGGGGTACAGTCCAGGATTGTTCTCATCGATGTGGAGGAGTTTTGACAAGTTTGCAATCTGGGCTCCCATCTCTTATTACTACGCAGGGAATTGCTGTTCCTGTGTCTCCCTCAAGATCACAGTGGAACAAATGAGGGTCCTTTGCTTTACTTAAAGATTAAACGTTGCGGTGTTAATTGAAGTGGCGAGGTCTGGTTTGGTTTATCTGACGCCTTTCGCACATTTGTGCATTTTAAAGAAATTCTCCTTGTGTTGCTCTCTTGTCTAACGTCAGTGGACCAGAGAGCAACAGTACATATATGTATGCAGCAAAAATTACATCTGTTTATAATCAAAATATAAGGGAGACTAGAGGGCAAGCCTGTCGGAGGTGTAGAGTGAATCTCTGGTATGTCATTTCCCGCAAGGTCTTTGAAGCTTCGTTTCCCTTTCCTTCTTCACAGTGTACTAATGGTCACTTGATGTGCGCTGGCTGTTTTATCCATCTACTAGCAGATGCCCGGCTGAAGGAGGAACAGGCTACGTGCCCCAATTGCCGTTGTGAGATCAGTAAGAGCCTATGCTGCCGAAACCTGGCTGTGGAAAAAGCAGTGAGTGAGCTGCCATCCGAGTGTGGCTTCTGCATGCGGCAATTTCCTCGCTCTCTTCTGGAGAGACACCAGAAAGAGGAGTGCCAGGACAGGTAACCAGTCTCACCTTCCGTTCAGTGGGGCACGAGATGCTTTCGCTGAGGCAAGGAAACTGTGTGCGCTGGCCCCATGATGTGGGGCTGCAGTAAAACAGGCTCCCTCTTCTCCTGTTTGTTGTTTGTAAGGTGGCCTGGCTGCAGGTCACGCTAGGTGAGACAGGAAAGTGAAGCTTGTGGCCGGCTTGGCCGCAAGTTGCTTTACTTCCCTAGAGTTGGAAAGCGGCACTGAGACCGCATAGATTTGCACATGATTGCTTTCTATCGCTTCTGTCTCATGCTGGCAGAGGCCGCGCATTGTCCTAGCCTGTTGCATGCACCCTCCCTCCCTTCCTTATCTTGTGTAGTTCTGAGCAGCCCAAAGCCTGCGGGATGCTTCTCTCAGGCAGAGTCCACTAGCCCAGAGAGCACGGGCTAGACTGCAGCATGTCAGCTGGGGCAGAAGCTCCGGTTACACAGCGCTGTTGGGAATTCAGACTTACTGTACTGCCTGGCCACATGAGTGCTTCAGCTGTACTATCTAGTACTGCGATCTAGTGAAATCTAATAAACCAGCCAGGATTGAGTGTCAGGATTTGGCTGGGAGGCCCCTGGCAGGAAGCCACGTGCATGCCCTCTCTGGTAAAATGACACCATTCCCATCACTCCTACGGAGGCTATGCCCCAGCATGGCACTACAGGGCTGTGCTGTGGTGGGGGCTTTTTCAGTTTAAAATCCTGCCCACGCGTGGTCGCTGACAACCCCTCGCACTCGTTGCAGTGAAAAGGGAGTCAGCGCTGACGTCTTTTCAAACTCCATTTCAAATTCAGTCCGAAAGGCATCTCCTGTCACTTCAGTTGTATGCTCTGTACTTTACACGAGTGCTTTTAAAAGGGAGTATTGCTAGTATGGGATAGTTGCTACTTTACTACTCCCCAGAAGGTGCCGCATTTCAGCGGTGGGTGAAGAGAGCCCTGCAAACAGTCCATGGAGTTCTTTGGCATCTCATAAAATGACAGGTGCTCAATAAATCTTGGTGAAGATTTATACTGCGGTAGCGCCCAGGGGCCTCACTGCGTCAGGTGCTGTACAAGTGACACACTAAGATGCCACCCCAGATTAGGTTACTAACACCATTGCTGGGACCAGCTGTTTAGCTGGAGTATTGATGATTGTAGCCAAACATGCTGGCTTGCAAAAGCCTAGGCCTCTTTGGCAGGGATGAAGGTTCTGGGATGCTGAGGCCCAGAGGTTTCGTGATGAATTCCGGTAGCCAGTGATGTTGTTACTGTCCCACCAGGTTGGTCGGGTTTTGCTTTCGGAGGCTGTATTCTGATGGTCTCATTGCTGGAGTGTCATTTGCCCTTGGTGCATGTCATTCCGTGGTGCAAGTACTCCTGTTTGTGCTCTCTTCGGAACAGGGTGACTCAGTGCAGATACAAGCGGATCGGGTGCCCGTGGCAGGGTCCATACCATGAGCTGACCGTTCATGAAGCGGAGTGCACTCACCCCACAAAGACTGGGAATGAACTGATGGAGATTCTGGATGAAATGGACCAAACCCATAAAAAAGAAATGCAGCTGTATAACAGTATCTTCAGCCTGCTCAGCTTTGAGAAGATTGGCTATACAGGTAATCACTCGGCCAGGCCAAACACAGCCTCCTCCCAGTGTTTTCACTGTCTTGCTTTTGGCACTCCTGTTATTTACGTACTGATGAAGCCTGTTTTTCTTATGTAATGCACAGTGCCGGTCTGTAGATCAGAAGAGCCTGGGCTTTGCTGAGCAGACTGTCCCAGTAGTGCTCTCCGAGAACCCTTCCCTGTCTCTTGGCAGTTGGGTTAGCTCGTGTCTGTGTTCCTTGCTTGGTGCTGGGCGGAGATGGAGGGGTGGTCAGACATGTTAAGAGTTGGCTCAGCAGCAGCAGAGTTCATTGTCCTGGCATCAGGTGGGATTTGGAGTCAGGAGGCGAATGCAGGATTCCGGGGCCTCGGAACTGGTGAAGACGGGCCCTGTTTCCCAGGTTATGTGCTTGGGCTCTGGACAGTAGCTGACCTCAGTTCTTATGGCGCTGCTTCCCTTGATGGCTAGTGCACGGAGCAACGCTTGTGTCGAGTGGGAAGGAAGGCCACGTCCTAGCTGCAGGTAAGGTGCTGTAGTTGCATCCACTGGATTGACGAACAAGACCAGAATAATAAGAATATAAACCAGTGTTGCCTGTGATGTTTCTTTGTTTTACTGCAAGTGAAAATGAAATTTGACACCATCCAGCTAACAGACCCCTTATCTGTCATCTGATACCTCCTTCCAGCCGGAGTCCAGTGTATTAATAACTGAAGTGACCCACCCACACACACTGACCTTACGGGATAGGCCTCTCGGTTCCACTGCATGGGAATTACAGCCCCTCACATTCCGGTCTGGTTCCTGTTCTTGGGGCACACACTTAGGGAGCTATTCAGAAAGCTTAATTTATCTTTCACGGGGATTTCTCTGCTGTCGGTTTTGTATCCATCTCCTGGAGAGAGCTCTTCGTAATACGTAGTCATTTCTCAGATTTGAGTGTCTCCTGTTCTTGCTTTTCCTTTGGGTAAAGAAAAGCCCCAGTGCAGAGCTATCTCTTGTCTACCTCAAATGGCAACTTGTGAGGGTGGGGAGGGGGGAAAAGAGGGATAAAAATCAACTTTGAATTAACACAATGAAACACGCAGGGAAGCTGGTTACTCGGTTGGCACATCGGTGCTAAAGTCGGGCCCTGAGAATTGCTTTTTAAGATTTGTTTGTGCTTGAGGTACTTGCAGGCAAATAATATGGAAGAGAATCTCTGAAGAGGGTATGGAGGGGGAAGGGTGTGGGTGGGGAAAACACATTTCCCTTACCATAAAGATTTAGCAGCCCCGCAGAGGGAAGCGTAGAGGGAAGATCTCCTGGTCTCGGCTGGCTTTCCTCCTCCACGCAGGAGCACTGGGTGCTCTGCTGTTCCAGAAGGGAGCTGCAGGCAGACGTGTGTGATAACCTCGTACTGTTCAAGGTCTCTGCTTCCCTCTCCCACGGGAGGCAGAAAGGTGATTTTTGTGGTTGCAGTGACAGCCACTCTCGCATCCTGCTGCATTGATGACTTTGCTTTTTAAATCTGGAGCTGAGTCCTTAGTGAAACTTCTCTAGGCCCGTGTGTGGCAAATGGATTGTGCTCAGAGCTCAGCTCTTGAAAAATGGAGCAGTCTTGTTAGCTGACGCGCTTAGCCCGGATTCTGGTTTTTCCCAGCATTACATCCATTGCTGCCTGCGGATACACGTAAGTAGTTGGTGCTGAGGAGGGGAGCAAAGTTCTGTAGCGCACCATGGTAGCGTCTGCCCTTGGAGCACAAGCCTGAGTTAGAACCGTTGCCTAGGGAATGAGATAGCCCAAGCTCTGCCCGGATGCTGCTTTCCCGGTCCAGCCCTGTTGGATAAGTTAGCTCAGGCGGGCACCTTTGAGAGCGAGGCCGAGCTGCAGCAGTCTGTGCTGCTTAACACTGCTCGGGAGCTCTCCATGACACTGGCGATAACACCCCTACGCCTAAAGCAGTTCCTTCCTGGGGAAAACGTCTTCTCTGTGTAGAGCTGTGTGTTAGGAATAACCCCTGAAGAGACAGCCGGACTCTGAGCTCTTTTACTGTAGTAAAATGATGGTGTGTGTCAAATCACTGAGTTACAAATGCTGTGTAGCTTGAATAACTGCTCACCTCCTTTGTCCAGGTATGGCCTCCTGTGCTTTCCTAATTCTTCTGGAAACTTTGAAGAATATGTAACCCTGTATGAACTGCACCCAAAGGTTCATTGTACCTGTAGTTATGCTGTGAGCTTCCATGGTTTGTACAGTAAAGACTTCACTGAAACGATATGCTTGTTCAAAAGGGATAGATTTGACAAAGTCTGTGTGCTGGCAAAGAGTTTATTGGACTGACAGCGGACTGTGCCTTGAAACGGGGGCTGGATTTCAGATTTTAGAGTGCATTTGCAAAAGTAAATTTGGACCACTTCTACCCAATGTATTGTTATTTCTTTATGTATCTGAACCCGGAATTTTCTGTACCTTTGAAGCCTGAAGGTCTGTGTTTCACATGCCCTGTTCTCTGGTTTTGCACTATGGTAATGCATAATTGTGCCTTATTACCTTGATTACAGATTTGTATGCATAATCCCAATAAAACGTGCTTTGTTATCTGAACTGTATCCTGTCTGCGTGTGATGCTTGTTTTTATGCACTCCAGACCTCAGTTCTGGCATACCCAAGATTTTATACCTAGGAAGCTACAGCTTCCCACACCACTTCCCTTCTCACTACATGCTTATTGCCTGTTCCCCCGCTCTTTCTCCATCAACAGATCACAAAGAAACAAGTGGCAAGGGCCCATCCATCTTGCCATTCTTGATGGCATGGTTTATAACCAAATTCATGTAGGTCATTTGCATCAGTCAGACCCACTTAGGCAACTGACTGATGCTTTGTAATTGTGTGCTGTGTGCACCACCCACTCACCACAAGCTAATGTTAGCGAGTCATTTACCTTGTAACAACAAATTCAGACTGATATAGGGAAATTCTTGTTTACACAACAACCAGTTGACTTGTGAGACTCTCTGCCACAAGATATTACCGAGGCTAAGAATTCAGAAAAGGATTAGACACTGATTCTCAGAATAGCTACGGTTACACTAAATATGCAAATATCTATGGCATATAAACCCTCAAGCCTCCAGACCTAAACCCATCAGAGACTGGGGATTCACTGTCTACAAATGGGCTTTCTTCAGCCTTCCTCACAAGCATCTGATTCTAGCCATTGTCAGAGAGAGGGTGCTAGACTAGATGGGCCGACCCAGTTTGGTAATTCCTATGTTTACAAGGTGGTGTATTCAGTGGATTTGATTAACCTTGTTTGTATTTTATTCTCCCCTCTCCCTTGCCTTCCCCTCAATTTTATGCATCTTGAAAGTGCTTCCTGTATTTACTGTTTTCAATGGACTATTAAAGTGCATTGAGTTCCTTCCCAAGAAGTCCCATTTCTCCTGACACTAGCTGGCTTTGAGTGGTCACTCCCAACCCCAATTGCCTCCTTATGCCATGTCAAGAAAGGCCCTGCACAGTAACTACAGGTAACTTGAGCTCGATTGTTCAGGCTGCCAGCTGCTCTGGTTAATTGTCTGTCTGTGTTTTCTCCCCCGCCCTCTTTTGTTGTGTTGCAGAAGTTCAGTTCCGTCCCTATCGAACCGATGACTTCATCACCCGCCTGTACTACGAGACGCCCAGGTTCACCGTGCTCAACCAGACCTGGGTGTTAAAGGCCCGCGTCAACGACTCCGAACGCAACCCCAACCTGTCCTGCAAGCGCACCCTCTCCTTCCAGCTCATTCTGAAAAGCAAGATCAGCTCCCCCATGGAGTGTTCCTTCCTGCTCCTGAAGGGGCCCTACGACGACGTGAAAATCAACCCCGTGATCTATCACTTCGTCTTCACCAATGAGAACAATGAGACGGAGTACGTGCCGCTCCCCATCATCGACTCTGTGGAATGTAACAAACTGCTGGCTGCCAAGAACATCAACTTGCGGCTTTTTATATTCCAGATACAGAAATAGGCAAGGCTGAGTTATGCTGGAAGTTCCCAAGAAAGCACCACTGAACCATAGTTACCTCGTACGGCTGCCTGTGCCCGTTGTGATTTCACAGTAATTTGATCATTTTAAAAGGAAAAAACCAACCAAACGTCTGCATGTCCCTTCCCTTCCCCCGTCTTCCCCAGGGCCAGACAAGAATGGAGCCAGGTCCGTGCCGAGGACTGGCACATGGGGGTGACAGCTGGGAAGCCTGCAGGTGCTGGCAGCATCCCGAGAGCTCTTTGGCATGCTGTGGTGAGGGCACAGCGATCCAAGCAGTTCAGTATATTGTGAATAGACGGAGTTATGTTGTCATGGTAAAGTGCACAGTCTACATGTGGCAGTTGGGGGGGCTGTAAGGGAGGCCCCTCCCTTCAGGCAGCGTGTGGCTTGAATGAACTGGATACATTTCAGTTTCCTGTTTTGGTTTTGGGGTGGGGCGCACGGAGACAAGTGTAGCTGCGATCGAGGGCTTGGGAGAGCCTAGTTCATTATTACTTGTGCAGTCTGGTCCTCTGTCTATTTTATCAGTAGAATAAAACAAATGGGGACCCCTCCCCCCTGAAAACACTAATGAGGTGTTTGGGGGCGTTTGTGGAACTTGTGCGGGCTGGGCTGACGTTCCACTCTTCTATGGGACAAGGATAGAGGTGGGGAGAAACGATGGCGCTGTAGTGCATTACATATGAAAGCGTTCCAAAGAACCAGACTCCCCACGTGTGTATAGTGTGTGTAAACTAACCCTTCGTTCCATGTTCCTTTCGCCCCAACCTTTTGGTCCAGTGGCGTTAACCATTGCCATGGTTTGTAAATGGAAGTTTAAGATGCAGGGCGAGGATTATGAAAAGCGGACACGCTGAGCATTGCACGATCTCTCACGGGGTTGTGACGTGAACCTCCTGGACTGAGTGGGCTTTCCTGGTAATTCCCAAGCGAAGATGCTCTTGATCTCGACTAACTTAGAATGGGTTATTGGAGCATTTTTGTCAGGACTGTGCTAATGGCGAATGGATCCGAACGGTTCATTGTCCCCTCTCCTGCCTTCCCCCACAAACACCACCCTGGAATGCTGCAAACAAAATACTGTATCTCTAGTTCATTTTGTATTGCACATCATGAAGAAACAACCCCAAGGTCATTTCTACAGTTCCATGCTTCCTCCAGCCCTGCAATATAGCACAGGTTGAGATTTTATCTAGACAAGATGAGGACTTATGTAGAAACCAAACCTAAATTCTTGCAGACTTTTCGGAATGCAGGGTGAAATTCTGTCCCTTTGCAGTTTTGCCAAAACTTGAGTTTCTTGTGAAACAAGAAAAAAGAAACGAGTTGCAGGCTCTTCTAGTAATTATGCAATTTTACAGTGTGAGAATATTTTTTATATATGAAATATATACAGCATGTTTATGGACAGGGATAGTGCAGCCAGTCACCAAATTGTGAAGAGATCTACAGGGATGTTTCACGTGACACTATTTTTAAGAAATGTAAATGTGGGGTATTACTGGTGGTGGAGGAAAACTCTATCACAAGCTCATTAATGCCGTGTGTTCAAGACCAGCCCCCCAGTGAATATGCCCATTGAAGTCAGGCCATCTCATTTTATTGTTACGGACTAACTGGATTGGGTGTGATGTAAATCGTGAAAACCTCTCGCAGATGCTGCCTGCAGTGAAGCTATTACTGTTTTACTTTCAGTAATGAAGCTTTTTCTGCCGGGGTTTTCATTCTGAATCATGTCAGCTTTCCAGCCTAGCTTTCTCACCTCCCACTGGCCCTTCGAAAGGCAGTGGCCAATGGGAGTTCGAGCCCTTTGATTGGTAACTTGATGAGTCTTTCTGCTGAGCCCCATGGAATAGGAGAATGTTTATAGCATGAAGCCTAGTCAATAGTCTTAATAGTGTCTTGAAATCTTAGTGATGTCTTTTAAAGAGGCCTAGAGTTTCACAGAATGAAGGGTATTACTGCCAGGTTAAAAGATGTGTGTTCAAAATGCTCAGTTGGAATGGATGTGAGATTTACAAAGGAAAATAACTTTCCATTAGCTGCTGCTGTAACTGTCTAGTGTGGAGGTTGGAGTCTGAGCTAGTGCCACAGGTGCAGCCCCTTCCTTCACGTCTCCCCTCCCTCACCTTGAGAGCAGAATCTCCGCTCCTAGAGCCCCAGGCGTGCGAAATGTCTAACACTGATTGCTAGAATTGTAAGCTGTCATTTTACGTAGGCTTCTCCGTAGCATCAGAGGAATACCATCTATTGTAGCTTTCTTTTGATTAAATACCAAAGAGCCATTTCCCCGTTAGCCCCATTACTCTTCGTTATTGTCACATGCTACATGTTAGACTGACAGACTAAATAGCATGCAACAGGCCAGTCTATATTTGGTGGCTGGTTTGAGTGTCTAAGAATGACCCCAACACTACAGTGCCTGTAGAGCAGGACAGACCACCTTGTAAAACTTCAGAGGAACTGTTTTTTTTATGATGAATGTAAGTTTTTTTCAAAATGGACAGTCTCAGGGTTGCCTGTCTTCTGTTTAGCAACATTGAAGGGATCACCAAAGGCTGACTCCATTTAGGGCTGTTTCCTGAGATCTAGTCACTTACAGGATAGGTTGGAAGCCAGTTCAGGAAAGATGGTGCCCTCAGGAGGAGCCATTAAGAACAAGTTGGCCAAGATCAGAGTCCCTTGCTTGGAAAAGTCTAGAGTGGAGTCAAACACCAGGGGCAGACTGAGGCTTCCCCCTGGTTATGGTAAGGGAACTTGCATTGCAGTTGTCTTCCCATTGTCCCAGCCTGCAGTTGTTCAGTCTGTAGCAGTTTGTTCCTTGGTGTCAAATGCACAAAGGCTTGTCAAGGAAACAAAAATTCCCCTGACCGGGGGCTGTTGTATGGTAGCTCACTGGCTCAGACAGTGCCACACGAATAGAGCTTGCTTTTTTACGAGGAGCAAGAACTCCAGTGCAGTCTGGTACAGGCCACTACTTCCTTCTGTGAGTAGCAATAGCTCTTTCAACCTGTCCTTGTTAACACTTACTGTTTTGAACAGGACTAGATACCCACCGGATTATTGATCCTACTGGAGTATCAGGGATTCCAATGTTCTGCAGACCCTCCATGAGAATAACATAGGGTGGCCAGATGTGGGTAACATGTCAGCATGACAGAGCATGTCCTGTTGGATTACATGGACACTTAGACCTCTGTTCACTTTATGCAGAGTACGCCGACACTGTGGCAGGTATCTTCAGAGTAGCATCGTTGGAATGACTAGAAGTGTCTTGGCTATAACCTTTGGGAAGTGAAGACTTCCAGCCCTGGCATTTGTGAAACTTAGACTTGTCTTCTTCTAAGGCTCTAAGAGGCTCACACTTGAGTGAAGAGTTGAGTCACGTTGAGGAAGGATTTGCCTGTCCTAGTGCATCTATCTGGAAGGAGTTGCTACGTTAAGTCCTGTAATAGAGTATGAGAATTTAGTTAAAGCCACCATGCAAACTAATCAGTGCCCAAGGTAGGTATATTTCTCTTGTACCACTGCCCTTTTCCCACTGTTGCACAGGCAGGAGGGTGAGTATTTTCTAGTCATTAAAGGTCACCTTAGGAATGTTCTGCAGCATCTGACACTTTCCATTTAGTAGAGACTAGAAGGCATTGATCACTCTATAACCAGTACCACTGGTGTGCTAATACGCCTGGTATGTTCATGTGCTTTCTACTGAGGCAACTGCTTCTGAACCCGGTGACCAAAGAAATCCAAATTCTGGCATCAGCCATGCAAGTGGTAGAACTTCAGTAACAGCTGCATGGAATGGGCTACTGATAAGCACAGAATCGAAACACAAAGGCATTCTGCATTAATAGGAGCTGTTGAAGCCATGCATAGTTCTCACCCTCCCTTCAAGACCTAAATTAAGCGGTAAAATCTTTCCAAAGTAAATGGAGCATATGAGAAACATGTGCTTGCAAATTAACTTCAACAGAAGAAATCCTGTCCCTGAGGAGTTCCCCTTCCATCCTGAAAGCTCAGAACAACCTGGGGCGTAATTCAGGGGGAGCGTCTTTCCCAGGAGCCTCGAGAACCCATCAAGAGATGGCAAAGAGACGTCATTCCGTTAGGAAGCTTTGAAGATCCTCCTAGAGAATTTCAGGCAAATCCTCCGGACTGTTCATTCTGCTGCTCAGAGGATGGGCAGCTGCAGAGATCTTTGTACAGCTTTGTTTTAATGATTCACTTTTTAAACAATTGGAACTGTTCAACCCCCACGTGCCCCTAAAAAGAAAAGACTCATTTTATATTTCTTAATACCGGCTCTTGACGCTTCGATCCATGTGTAGTTTGCAGGCTGGGTTTTCCCCACGCCAGCTTCTCCTTTCAGAAAGTTATCTGTAGACTTACTCATTTTCTAGTACATTGGGCTACCTAAGGAGAATTAATTTGTGGCAACCTGCAAACTTTTCAGGGTAGAATAATTTTACCAGGTCTCCTCTTCCCCATCCCACCCCCTGTGATTTTAAAGCTGGTATAATCCTGCAGGTCTGAACTTGTTTGTGGCCTAATCTTAGCACACTAGTCCAGGTTACCATGTTTTCATCTCTGAGAGTGTTCCTCCAGTTCCCTGAGTGTGTAGGGTGAACGCTGGTGAGTTTCTGAAGACCAATTGTTTTGTATTTGGTAACTCTTGTCCCAAGTAACTGGCTCCCATGGCAGGAGGTAGCGTTGCTGATCTTCGTTGGGTTGATGGGAAGAATCTGGCAGGTTTTGTGCACTTTGCTTTAGACGATGCCCAGTGGCAGTGGAGTTTTCCTGTGCTGCTGTCAAAGGGGGGTGCCCGCGGGCTTGCCCAGCTGAGTGCCACACTGGCTACTTTGCAGGGGTTGGGGTCCCCACCTAATTAATCTGTAAAACGAATGCAGCCGTCCTCATCTCTTGAATTGAGGGATGCAGCTCGGGTAGGATGGTTGCCAATGCACAGCGCTGCTGCTTAGATCAAAGTGTAGCCCTGCCTCCAGAGGCCTGTAATCTCCATGGCCCATCTTTCCCATGAAGATAAGGGAAGCCGCAGGCATTTTATGCAACACAGGGATAATCAATGTTGGAATATTAGTCTTCTCTCCAAAGACAACTCCGTTAGGCCTTGAATTCAGATGGAACAGATTTTTTTGATGCAACTCTCTTCTATAGATTCAGGCAGGAACCTCCCATTTGCACATTTAACGAGATTCCGTTATTCTCTGTGCGATAGTTGCATGAGTTGAGCAGAAGATGTCGTCAGACAGCAACTTTGAGTGAAACAGGCACGATCTCGGAGAGTTCCCGCTATTAAGGCAAGTTGAGATCCAGCCCGTCAGCTGTGATTTAATGCAACTCTGCGTCTCCTGCCCCATGGGGTGCTTCCCAATAGCATGCACAGTGCCATGGACTGCACACAACAAACCTGTCCGGGTAGAGACCCATTACTGTCATCTGGTCCTCCCCTGTGTGTAGATCTCTCCCTGCTCTTTTGTGTCCTACTGTTTGACATACTGTTTGCTACGTGCCTTCAATATCGGCCATTGTTTTCAAAGGATGGCTACGGGAAAAGTGGAACCCTTTCCTTTCCCAGGAACGGTCCTCTGCACCCTTCGCAGATGCTAGTTGAATGAATGCGTCTGCGGGTTTTCATTGAAGAGGTGTTGTCGCCGCCACTCTTCCTTCTCTTCGCTTGTTGCCACTGACTGTTTCTGTCCCCTTTTTTTGCCTCTAGATTCCTCTCTCCTGTAAGCACAAGGAATTGTGCTTTGGAGTAGCCGTGTCTTCCCCGTTTCTGAAAGGTGGGACTGAGATCATTGGTCAGATGCAGACTTAAATTTGCATAAGCCTGGGCCAGTCTTTGTGGCCCAGGCCTGGGGAGTGACATGACCAAGTTGTGTCTGAATGGGACTGAATGCACAGTCTTCCCCTGTGGTTACTGGATGTGGATGTTTTCACTAAGACAATAGCAGGTAATCTCTTTGGAAGCCAAAAGACAGGGCCCTTGTACAGTATTACAAAAGTTCTTGTATATTAGTATTAGTTCTACCAGTGTAAAGTGAAGGGAGGAGCAACTGTATATCCACATCTGACCGAAGCGTTAGCCTGAGAAAAGCACATTGCAGTGAGGGGGAGTACCTGGAAAAGTGGGGACTCCAGCCGGGGTTGCCCATCAGCTGCTCGAGATGGCGTTCCATAAGAGCTGTGTGCATTGCTCCCTTTGGGTTCGCGGTTTTAAAATGCCTTCCTGTGTCCGGGAGTCCCTGGCCAGCTGCCAGCCAGACTCAACTGAATGGATTTCCTGGGTGTGATGGTCAAAAAATTCTAAATCATCAAATGTTTTGCAAAGCTGTTTTCTCTCTCCTCGCCCTTGTCCCTCTACTCCTTGGCATAGGTCACCCTGTCCTTCCTGGACATTGGAAAATTCATACACAGTAGCTGAGCCTTACGTGTCTAGTTCAGGACTAGACAACTAAAGATTGTAGCATGTCTCTTCATGCCAGGGCTGAAGACTGGCAGACCACAAACCTCCTTACAGTATTTACTGTGGGTAATTTATTTAACTAGTGAATGTAGAATTAAAATAATTTAAAAGCTAATGGTTTGTTTGCAGGATCGTACGTCCGCTCTGTAATTGGCCTGATTTTATTTGTGTTCTCGTTCCTTTAGTTCATTCTATCTAGCGGGGATAGACCGGGCGGGGCGGGGCGGGGGGCGGGGGAGCGGGTTCATTCCAACGCTGGAGCCTGGGATTCAGCTGGAGGCTGGTTTTCAAAGTAGACGAGGGTGGGTGGGTGTCAGTCTGGCCTCCGGACACTTGTCTCGCAGAACCGCCCCCCAGTGTGGCACAATTGGCAGGCGAATCAGGGAGGCTCGGGACTGGACTAGTGGGGACTGCTGCAAGTCAGGGCTGAGGAGCGTTGGGAAGAGAGCACGTGCAGCCCCTGGCTTGGCTACTGCTACCGCTCGCCTCCTCCCAGTGCCGGAGCACTACACGTTCGAACACCGTTTGAGAGGGCTGGTTCTGACACTGTCAGGAATGATTTCTTCTGTTCCTTTTGTGGTCTGCGTTCTGTTTGAATAGTTTCTGTATGTAACTGTAGTAAAAAACCAAACCAAACCACTTGTGTCTGTGTTTACTTGACCAAACCATGCTGCCAGTCATCCTCCCTGCGCTGTAGGAGATCTGTCCGTGCCGTGGGGTGCAGGGGCTCTGTTCCCTGGAGCAGGCCTGCAGGGCAGATTAGCTTTGCCCCTGACCATTCTAGGTATGGTGTACTTGGTCCTGCCTCAGCGTGGGGGCTGGACTAGATGACCTCTCAGGGTCCCTTCCAGCCCCACGTTTCTGTGACTCTCCCTGGAGGAAACTTGAGCCCCACAAGGCCCCATACTTTATCAAAGAAGTTGATTCCACTGGTGCCGTTACGGTAGCCAGGAACAGTGAGAACATCAGAAAGGGACCTCTTCGAATCCCAGCCCTAAACTTGCTAGGCATGGCCCAGTTCTGTGCCTGGCTTGGACCCCAGCAGCCAGATTCACCCAGCGACAGCCCTGTGTAACATTCCTGACAGGTCCGAATGGAGGCACCATGGTCTGGAGAACTAACAGCCACGCCACCCAGTAGCCCAAATATGGCCACTCCCCTCTCATCCCTGCTTCACCTGCCCAGTGTCCAGTTCTCTGAATCACAGCATGTCCTAGGCCCCACAGCCCACGTCTGGGGGAGAATAGGACTGCGGGAGTGAAGAACCCAAAGCTAAGTGGATAGACTGTGTAATGGCTGAGAGATCACGGTAATAACAGGAATCCCTCAGGCACAGTGCTGGCTTCTAAATTATGGGGGGCCGACGGGTTACTGTGGATAGTCCAGTGATGACATCTGCTCAGTGGTAGTCAAAAAGCAAACAACATCAGGATATAGAAAATAATAAAAATAGGTCTTCATATATCCTCATGGTGGGGCTTCAACCCAAATGCTGTGTCAGGACGGGTCACCCCATCCCCTTAATGGCCCAGCAGGAAGCGAAGGGGTTATGGGGTGGACAATGAAAATGGTTAGAGGCATGCAGAGACTTCTGTACGAGCAAAAATGGAAAGGCCTGGGGCAGTTTGGAGGGGGGAAGAAGAGGTGTGATGTAGGTGTCCAAAATACTCTAATAGAGAAGGTGGCTCAAACAGTGCTAGTTATCTTTTCTGATACAAGAACAAGGGGACAGACTGAAAGGCAACAGAAACTGGAAAAAAAAAAGACATTTTTTACACAATGCATTACCTGTGAAACTCACTGCCACAAGATATCCCAAGAGTTCAGCAGGATTCAAAGCATAAGAACATAAGAACGGCCGTACTGGGTCAGACCAACGGTCCATCTAGCCCAGTATCCTGTCTACCGTCGGTGGCCAATGCCAGGTGCCCCAGAGGGAGTAAACCTAACAGGTAATGATCAAGAGATCTCTCTCCTGCCGTCCATCTCCACCCTCTGACAAACAGAGGCTAGGGAAACCATTCCTTACCCAGCCTGGCTAATAGCCATTAATGGACTTAACCTCCATGAATTTATCCAGTTCTCATTTAAACCCTGTTATACACCTAGCCTTCACAACCTCCTCAGGCAAGGAGTTCCACAAGTTGACTGTGCGCTGTGTGAAGAAGAACTTCCTTTTGGTTGTTTTAAATCTGCTGCCTATTAATTTCATTTGGTGACCCCTGGTTCTTGTATTATGGGAATAAGTAAATAACTTTTCCTTATCCACTTTCTCCACATCACTCATGATTTTATATACCTCTATCATATCCCCCCTTAGTCTCCTCTTTTCCAAACTGAAGAGTCCTAGCCTCTTTAATCTCTCCTCATATGGGACCCGTTCCAAACCCCTAATCATTTTAGTTGCCCTTTTCTGAACCTTTTCTAATGCCAGTATATCTTTTTTGAGATGAGGAGACCACATCTGTACACAGTATTCGAGATGAGGGCGTACCATCGATTTATATAAGGGCAATAAGATATTCTCCGTCTTATTCTCTATCCCCTTTTTAATGATTCCTAACATCCTGTTTGCTTTTTTGACCGTCTCTGCACACTGCATGGACATCTTCAGAGAACTATCCACGCTGACTCCAAGATCTTTTTCCTGATTCGTTGTAGCTAAATTAGCCCCCATCATATTGTATGTATAGTTGGGGTTATTTTTCCCAATGTGCATTACTTTACATTTATCAACATTACATTTCATTTGCCAAAAAGTATTGGACATTTGTAGGGATACCAGGAACACCCACAATTTAAAAATAAATTGGGGTTGAGATTGTATCTCTGTAAGTTGTTTGTACAACACCTGCGCGCTGGGGCCCGCATCCTGACTGAGCTCTCAATGTTTGTAGTAAAAATAGCCAAGATCGTGATGTTTCAGATCCTAGCTCAATGGCCGGGAGTTAGGAAGAACTAGGAGCAGATTATCCCACAACTGGGCATTCTGGAGTTTCTGGCCAGTCCCAGCCACTCAGCACATCGGCCTAGACGGGGCCGTGCTCTGAGCCGGTAGGGCAGTGCCTGCGTTGTCTGCTTTTATCTCCCTTTGTACCTCTTGTTGAACCCTTTATTCTCCCGGGCCCCCTCTGGAGATACTGACGTTGTGTAGTTGCCTTTGGCTTTAACGCAGGTCAGTGTGATCAGACTAAATAGCTGGAACATTGACTATGTTCATGACTTTACCTGCTTTGTGAAGCGCGTGATGAAAAGCGCTAGATGAGAGCGAGGTCATGTTATTACTCACGGATATTGGGGGTGCTGTGGGGAGAGGTTAGCGTTTCCATATGCTCTTTTTAATTAGCAGCCGCCTTTGTGATGGAGGGGCCGTGTCTTTGAATGACACAGACATTGCGATCTTCGACTTGGTACAACACTGTAATCCTCTAACTAGTTCGGCAACATGTTCCTTTTTGGTACAGTGCGGCCTATTTCTGTACGCCCCCTCCGTCCCGCTCCGCTGGGGAGTGCTGGGGTATAAGCCCCCGAAGCAGGATCCCTCACGTTACAGCAGCACAGTCTGATTCGCTGCTTCTGATCGGGAGTCACACGGATTTCTGTCTTGACTGAAGGCGAAGCTATTTAATTTCTCTAGGTACTGGGGGTCACTCAGGCTGTCCAGAGCAGCCATTTTATTTATACCCTCTGTGCGTGAAACCTCACCGGGGATCCCTCATCCCATCAAGCATAAGAAAATGTGAACCCCTCCCCAAAACCCCTCTCTAGCTATATGGTCCTGCACCATAGCACGGGGGTGCCTCCCAAACTCCCCCTCTCTCCCACCTCCCAAAGGCGAAGAGATATAACTGGGGTTTTCTGTAGGTGATAAGTCGATTGGGGTTTGTTTCTCTATTGGAGCGGTCAGCCACCGATGTAGATCTGCGCATGGTGAGGTGGATGGAGTATGGAAGGGTGGTTCAGTTCAGCTCCTCCCACGCGTCAGGGTCCTCTTGGTTGGCAGGTTTGTTTTCCACAGAACAGAACCACGCTGGGAGGGAGTGGTTGTGTGGGGAGAAGTGACGGTTTGGGTAGCTAGCGCCAGTCCCGTGGAGAGCTCTGCATCTTGGGACAGACGTTTTGGCCTGGATTCTGGGGAGCCCGTGCAGACAGCAGACACCGGGGGACGGGCTGCCCATGACCTGCAGAGCTGCTGTGTGTTGTGCAAGATGGAGGTGTTTCTAGATAGCCATTGTGATGATCAAACCTGGAGGCCACAAACACACACATCCTGGCCAGGTCTGTGTCCTATTGGAGGGGAGCGATCCTCTGGCCAGCCGCAGAAGCAAGTGGGCGTCTCTTGCCGTGACTCTTTGGACACTCAGTGGTCATGAGTCCAAAAGAACCCCAATGTGGTGGACTGACAAGGTGTGGGAGGAATATCTTTTATTGGACCGACTTCTGCTGGTGAGAGAGACGAGGTTTTGAGCTACACAGAGCTGTTCTTGGCAAAGAAACTTCCTCAAAGCACTTCCCTTTTCTGACAGCAGCTCCTCAGTCCGGCATGGATTCACCTTCAGCCAGGGGTTTGCTCCACTTCTAGAGATGGGTACGGTCAGGGGGCTTGGCCCTCCCGAAATGGAGTCTATAATAGGGCCTTCCTTCTCGGCTATGTCTGGGGCTGTCTACGTGAGACCAAGGAACTAACTCTCAAGCACTGGCTAAGCTCAGAAACTTCTTGCTCCTGTTCAACCTGATCTGTGGAGGGGATTCAGATCTGCCAGAAGGAGCCAAGCAAAACCCAACGGCCCCCAGCTCGTCTGCTCCCGAACCCCAATGGCCCCCGCTCCTCTGCTCCCAGGATTCTCCCTGGGCAAGAAGACTGTAATTGTTAGCTGCAGTGTGGGGCTACACTAGAGACCATCAGAGATTTCTTAATGTAATACACACTGGCAAGTTTTCTCAGGCTGAGAGAGTTTTGATTTTCCTCCCCCTTCACCCGAGATGCCTAGTTCTTTTCTGAGCCCTGCTATAGTCTTGGCCTTCACAACATCCCCTGGCAGCGAGTTCCACAGGTTGACGGTGCGTTGGGTGAAAAAATCCTTCCTTTGGTTTGTTAAATTTATTTATTTATTTATTTATTTAACAAACCAAAAGAAGGATTTTTTCACCCAACGCACCGTCAACCTGTGGAACTCGCTGCCAGGGGATGTTGTGAAGGCCACCGACCTTCAGAGATTTAGAGACCATCAGAGATTTCTTAATGAAATACACACTGGCAAGTTTTCTCAGGCTGAGAGAGTGTTGATTTTCCTCCCTCTTCTCTGCTCCAAGAGACTTTTGTACGTTTCACTTTCACTCTGCCCTGCAGAGAACTGACCCACCAGCCCCTGGGAGCAGCCCCCTCGGCGAGTCAGGTTTCAGTTCACCTGCCTTCCCTAACACGTACTTACGATCCCTTCCCCGTAGTGAAGTCGAGACAGACAGCTTTTCTTCTCCAGGCCATATCCTCCTCTTCCCAGGGTGTTCAGACCTGTGCGGCCAGCAGGGACCCAGGCCCTGCAGTCCTGGAACTACACTGGATCCTGAGAACTGGCAAGAGGCCTTCAGATCTCAGTCTCAGTCTGCGACACTGGCCCTTTTCTACCTCCTGGAAA